CTTGAGCCCAAGAGTTTGAGGTTGCTGTGAGCTATGATGCCACGACAAACTCTACCAAGGGTGGCCAAGTGAGACTTTGCCTCCAAAAAGAAAAAAAAAAAATCGGTAATTGTAATCCTGTGTAATTAATTTTCCCTTGGTTCATGCATATCAGCCTCTGGTCAAGAAAGAGGAGTTTGGTAATGATCCCTTTACAGATTCGAGGGCTGTCTAAGAGAAATGCTACTTTGAAACCCACGGCATGTGCAAGCCCTTAGATTGAAGTCTACGTGATTCAGGGTCGATAGAGGCATGCGCCCTGATTATAGGCGGAGGTTCCAAAGTTGCAATGTTTGCTACACAAATCATGCATTGCAACCCAGTGTGTACATTTAATACATCTGGTTAGGAAGCGTCTAGTTATGATTCTTCCATATATTTTCTTGTCAAAATCTTTGCCAAAGTTGTTAAAGCCCAGTAGCTACCACGAGCACACAGCTGAGGCGGGAAGCTTGGCTGTGACTGTGCAGTGAAGGCTCCCTCGCTCTTCATGGCATGGAAGGTGCCATCAAGACTCCAAGGAGGCCGCTAACTTGTCTTTGGTTGTTGGTGCCGAGTGTCTATTGAGCCACTTCTTATTTGAGTGGAAAGCACATAATCAAAGGAATTTGGCGTGCTTTAAAAATAAGGGTTTAAAATGTAAACCACGTGATAATGCACTGAAAAAGCGACTTCCCTAGTGAATGAAGCAAACTTCACACCAGGAAAAATGCTGATGTTCGTGCGGTAGGAATAAAAGAAATGTGCGTCCTCCTCCCTTCCCGCACGCAGGTGCTGGCCGCTGGTAGCCTCCGTGTCCCCCGCAGGTGTTTGTGAAGTAAGGGACAGAATGAACAGTCCCTTCCCTTTTACCAGCCCCGGCAGAACCCTGACTCCCCTCCCCGTGTCTGACTGTGCTTCGGTGAAGCCTGCAGAGAGCAGCCTGGCACGAAACCACTAGATTACTGAAGCAATTTTTCAATATAAAAAATTAGGACACCATCAGTGTAGAAAAACTGAGAAAGACGGAAAAGTATATAAACAATGGAATCACCCATAGCTAGAGATATCCAATATTGCATTTTGATATAATTTTTCATCAATCTGTATCTTTTCTTTTACAAAACTGAGAACATGCAGTCTCTTTTTGAATCTTGGTATAACATCATACATATGTTTTATTGTCGTTAAATAGTCTTTGATAATGTGGTTTATACTCAAGGGGCCCGAGGTCACCACACAGACCCCACGCCTTGCTCAGGGGCCCTGGGGGGCTGCTCAGGTACTCAAGCTTTCCCTCCCAGCTGTATTCTCAATTATTTAACATCT